TTGAGACAATGTAACTACATTTTGAGTTGGCATATTAAGTACGATTCAAAGCTTCAATTCTTCTAAATAAAATATAATCTACACTTATTGTAAGCTTTTTTTTAATTTGCTGGGAAATGTTTTAAGGCAATAATTAAAAAAATTTGTTGTATAACGAGTTGGATTTTTGGTTCTATTTTTATTTAGAATAAATATTCTAAATTCTATTTAGAAAAGGTTCTATTCTAATAATAATTTTCATACCTATAATAAGTTGAAACTTTTGGACTCAAGTCAATCGTTAGTTTAATTACTTGTATATCATGTGTATCTTGATATATTTATATATTCTATTCTTAACGAGTCTTTCTTTTCGAATACATAATATAATCGAAGTAATAATGGTCAATCTTTTGCTTTCTATTATTTCAATAAGATCATTGCTATCACGGAAGTCAAAACTTTTATTAGCCTGTGTATTAGACAACTGTGTATTATTAGAAAGTGGAATAGTGGAATATGTTAATAATTTAATGAACAAAATTGTTTTTTTAGTCAACTATAATAAACTGGACTTTTACACTATACTTATATATATAACATGGTAAAGTTAAAGATATTTCTAATATAGAAACATGGTTTTAACATAAAACATAGCTATAATATCATATATTTAATATATAGGACAAGCTTATCCCACACTTCTGTAAATCCTGTTTGCTGCTATCCAAAATTATGAGTATATTTACCAATTACTATTTAAGCAATTACATTATCAATTCCTTCAATTCCTTCTATATTTGTGGGATTAATTTTCTATATCACAGCTCACTGTTTCAAGTAATAAAATAGGCACTCTACGTGTTTTTATTGAGGTGCCAGGCTTAATATAATTTATAAAAAAATTTTTTTAATTTTTTAAAAATTCTTGAACACAGAAGCGATATTGAGCTAACAAATGAAAATATTGTACCCATTTTTCACTTTACCTTCTAATGCAAACCTATAGCACTTCAAAAGATCGATCTCAAGTGGAACGTTAAATTTTCATTTTATTCTAATAGGTATATAGAACCACTGAAGCTAGTAAACAACCACAAAAACTTGTAAGCAATTGATAAGTTAGGAGTATTTTTAATCAGATACCTGGAGATTTATCTTTTTTTACACGAAATTATCTAGCAGCCCACTAGTAGTACTTGTAATATTTTCAAAATATTTCTTAGAATATTTTAATTTTATCAGATAAAGTTTGAGTCCTTGCACGTAAAAACTCTTAAAAGATAACACATATATATTTTCTATATTTCATACTTATTGTATGCATTGGTATATATTTATTGAATGTTCAATGAATATTCATATATTCATTCATTGGTATATGTTATTAGCAATATTCTATTGCATTTTTTTATTCTTAGTTTTTATTAGCTTACTTGATAACGAACAGGTTTTTACGATCCCAACCAGCCAAATAAACAGACGGAAAGAAATATGAATAAGCTACTGTAATTTACCATTATGCCATTATTGCCAGTTATATAGTAAACAACTTGAATAGATAAATTTATTACGTCATATCTTTATTGGTATAATATAATAAAATCGATTTAGCAATCTACTGAACTTATAAGAACTACAATGCCCTTTATTTAAAATAATACCAATAGATTGATCATTTTCTATTGATAACATATTGAAGCACTTAGAGAAAACGTCAATATAAATTACTTTTCTAATGAAAAGAAATAGCCTACTAAAATACAAGTCATTACTATTAGTTATAGAATTGCAACACAAAAGATCAACTACTATCAACTCACTTAGCGATATCTCCAGCATCAGCATTAGGCTTTGTTAATGCCTCTGGTTGGTTCTAGTTTGACCCTCTATCAACTACCCACTATTACGAGGTTTTTATGGATTCAAAACGGCTTTTATCTTTAGCTATTTGAGGAGGATTCGTCCTCCCTCCACCACAACTAACTAACTAACTATGGTCGCAGTGCTCCGCTCCATTGGGAGCTTGTACCCTGTTTATTTCTATTAGTTATAGAATTTGTTGATAAGTGGCAATGATAATTAAAACTAAACGCGATATTCCGTAAAAATAATAAGTGTGAACTTCCTCGAATTCAAAAATCGATTGATTTTATCGAAGTGAAATCAATTTATCTAGTAGTAGTAGTTATCTAAATCGAAGCATTTATTATCGATATCATCTAATTGCATACTCTGGAAGTCCACTTTACAACGTAATATTCCTTTAATACTTCTAATTCCTGTAACAAATTGGCTGTCCTACTGAGATTTGTCAGTAATAATTTCAAGCATAGCATCAATCGATTCTTTATTACAAAAGCATTACCAATAACCCTCAGAATCAGTATTACTGTTTATCTTCAAGCATTGGAAACGTTAGATAAGTATGAATACCATCCTTTTCAAAATATGATATTAAAACCTATCAGAGGAACTATATATTTTTAGATATACATAGGTATAGTGATACACATATATACACATATCAAAAATATCTGCAATTTTTACACAATTTGATTAATTATCAAAAAAGTATATATGGAATATGTGAAGCATAACCCATCGACTAGGTGGCTTAAGGTGCTGAAGCTCTTTTCGATATAAGGGCTATAGAGGGCTATTTTCATGTATAGCTTTATTCATTATTAATGCATCATGACTGTTTACTAGCCTAAAATTTTTTTGTAAATTACTGTAATTATCTGAATAATGCATTTCTACATTAAATTTAAGTTTAGATGCTACAAAAATAAACTAACCTTAATATAAAACAATAATCTGCAGTGACTAACTGTCTAACTTTTTCTATAACTTTGGAAAAGCAATAGTTTATTAAAAAATTACTTAAAAACTCTTAAAAACTGTTATTGATATTGATTTTGCTAATATAAAATGTATGAAACTATTAATCAGAATATTTTCATCTCCTTAAGAAGAATAATTATTACCATATCTACAGCTAGCTACTAATACTTGCAATTCACTTACATCATGTATATTTTCCCGGTTCACCAGGTCTCCGTATAATAACATCAAGTATTGGAAACAATGACTGATTCGGTACTACTTCGGAACCCCCACAGAGAAACTGTGACTCAAATCTTAGCCAAGTGTTATATAGGAACCCCCACAGAGAAACTGTGACTCATTGTAGCAAAGACTGATTTTTAAGGAAAGCATTTCTTTGACTGTTTATCGGATTTCCAATCAAAAACTTAGGAGGATGAATTTAGTTCTAACTGTCAGCGATTCTTACTAGATACCTACATAATATTAAAATCGTGAACAACCATAAATTATAGAAAGCAGAAGCATATCTGCTGATCACTCGTTGCAATCAAACAACCGATATCATAATAATATAATCACAAACAAATAATGATTTAGAAATAACATTCCTCATATTAAGAAATTACATTCCCAATCACTTTTAGAAATCCCTCACTAATCCTTCAGAATTAATGCATTATAATATGTATTAATCTTACATATATCACATATCTCAATTAATATCATCTTATATACGTGATTAATATCGTATTGTGTGTGTGTGTGTATTATCTAATTATTATATTATCTTATTATATTATTATTATATATATATATTTATCTTATTTTATTATTTTATCTTATTATTATATTATCTTATTATATTATTTTATTATTTTATCTTCTTATATTATCTTACCATTTTCGTAAGATATGTGGCTTATATAAGTATGTCGTCACATATATTAATAAATATCCTTATAAAATAACTTAATTAAAAATAAATAAATCTTAATTTATATATGTGATTAATATCCTACCTTATTATCTTATTTTATTATTTAATCTTATTATTATAATATTATGTGACATCTTCTATATATATCTCATATCTTAATTAATATCCTTATGAAATATCTTAATTAAAAATATAGAAATCTTTATTGCGATTAATCAGTTTATATGACAAATTTAAGTAATGGACTATTTATCGTGGTTATGACGTAAAGAAAATATGATTACATGTAAAGTGCTAATATCTAAGCTCAGTGAAGGAAAAGAAACTTTGCCACTTCAAGGATACATTTGTGCTCAAGTTAGTGTGGCAGTTAAAAACTGAAAACAGATAGTCGATATCATTAGGAGTACAGTTGAATATCTAAAATACCCGTTTATAAAATAATTACAAGTAAATTTTCAATACATGAATATATCCTAACCTCATGTATGCAAATTACTGCAGCAAGAAGGCGTCTTTCATTATAAGTTCTTAAAAAATTAGACCAATGTTATTTAAATAAGTTTTTTATGATTTTTATATTAAATATATTATATTATATATTATATTATATTATATTATTTATATAATATTTATTATATTTATATTATATTATATTATATATTATATATTATATATTATATTATATTAAATATATATTATATTAGCTACCAAAATATAAAAAATCATATTAATATACATATATGGACATTAAATCAAAAATCATATTTAATTATAACATAATTTTTAACTTCATTTATTATATAATATATTGCATCTATAAATAATAAAATGAATTACATTTTAAAATACATTAAAAAATTATTACATTTTATATCATTTTTAAATTAATATAATACGATATATATTATAATATGTTGTGTATAAAAATAAATGATATAACAGAATAAGTTTCATATTAATATATTACAGTTATATAATAAAATATATTAACTATATTGATTGTATTTTCATTAATATATGTTTTTATAAACAACAAAATATATTTTATTACTTAAGCATAATTTTAAGTGATTTAGAGTCTCCCAATAGTTTCAAAGCTAATATAAATGAAATACAGTATGTACTTTGTATATACGATATAATAACTAATTGTCGCTATAATAAAAATAAAAATTTTAAATTCTAATTTTCTTTTTACTAAAATTCTTTACCATAAAAAATATATTCACTAACAATTATTTGGAAATACTTTTCAAAAAATCTAAATATATAAAAAGTTCTAATGATAATCTTTAGTTTGTTTAATGCATGGGTGAGGCCAAACGCGTTAATGACTGCGCTAATTGGCGGGTTTGTGCCCTGAGGCGCATATCTCTAACTTGCTTCACAAGCTGTTCCTGCAACGCAAGCAGCTCACGTGTACGTTGATAAATTTTATTTTGTGGTCGCATACTGGGGTTCCAACGGCAATAAAGCCCTTTCCATAATTTCACAATACGCATGCTAGCAACTGGTCTTATCACATTTTTAGCACCTTGCGAAAATGATGGATATAATGGATTTAAATATTGATCCAAAGAACCATTTATATGTGTCCATAGCGATACTGTTTTATGTTTTAAATCTGCAATTTAAAAAAACAAAATAATTTAATTTAATTAATTTAAAAATGTAAAGAGAGAAGTTTATATTTTTATATAGCAAGTATATCAAAATTATGTTACACTTAATAGAACTGATTGCTTAAAATTCGTTTCATGACTATTGACTATATACAATAAGATCTAATTTATAAGTTAATGTAATAAAACATGATAAACACCTAATATAGTTATTATGGAACTAGACTTCTCTCAAACGTCAACACCAAAACTAATTATTCCATTTGGAAAAAGTATTCAACTAAATAAAAAATAATTGTATTTCAGATACATTAAGAAACGTATTTACGCGTTGAAATGTGAAGAATGACCTCATTCAGCTCACATAATATCTACTGGTAACAGACATGCTTTAAAATGCTTATCTTTGAAACATAAATTTGTTAATAAAAGGACTTCATAGACAGCGATCCTATAGAACAAATAGACTATCTCATAAGTAGCCTATATGAACGTTATAACGTCAAAAATTGTAGGAATTCACAGAAACTTTAAGTTAATGTGCAATCAGTCTTAAATTGGGTTTTCAATTTAAATCACGCACTCTTTATAAGAAGTCAACTCCCTTTAATTATTCTATTTAATAAAAACTAATAAACTAATTATTTAAGACATGCCAGTTGGAATAACACTATTCTTTCTCAGAACTCCGATACGAAAAATTTAGATAATGTTTTAAAAAGAAATATATATAAAAAATGAATATCATCCCAAAATACTGCAAATTTGGATGTAACAAGGACAGTTTATAGAATTCCCGCAACCGCACTTGCAAAAATTTATTTTCAAGCTTACCGACAAAAATATAACTCTTTAATTAACTTTAGTATAAGTAAAAATAATTTCAGGCACTACAATATACCTAGTACAGACTACAATAGCCTGAAAAAAGTATATTGTTTGGCTTACAACCTTCAACATAAAAGTTGGAAATATGTTCAATCTTTCAAAGGTTCAGATCATTGCAGTGTCTTCAAGGTAAAGGCGCTGTAGTTAATTCGTTCTCCATACAAAGACCATATCCCTTATCCCTTTTCTGATAACCGCACAACACTTAAAGCCAGAAAATGTCACACATTTTTTGAAGAGGATTATATGAGTATCAGAGAACAAAAACCGCGAAGCATGTAAACTTGCAAAAGCTGGTTTTCAAAAGCATATTTTACTATGAGAATGGATAGAGATTGTATCTAATGGTCAACTGCAACTGTCTTAGTTTTTATTCTTTTGTTATTGTCATTGTAAAGAGACTGGTTTATGGACGTAGATACGGCCTCTTTAGAACCTTGCTGTTGTATCTATTTTTCTGTCAGTTGATAGTGATGCTTATACGACTAAAAGTACTATGTGCTCTACAGACAATTAAAATACAATAAATTTCTGCCAAAACTTTGAAAGAATGATGTATCAATAATGATGTGCCATTGCATTATAACTATATATACAATTTAATTTAAACAAATGTATTTGTAGAATATAATAATTATATAATCGATAGAACCTGTAGAGCAGGAAACAGTAATGAATTACAGGATAAATATTCCGATTAGAATATGATATAAGGAAAGCTGATCCTTAGTTGTATTCATTCAATTCATATGGTAAGTATGGATATTAATTATATATATAACGAATTTCCTCCAGAACTAAAATATCATTCCTTAAGCTTGAAAATTTACCAAAAAGTTGCTTATATTAATACAAACACTGGAGGAGATGAAGGTCATAACTACATTGATACAACTCATTAAACTGATGCTGATTATCTATACTTTATGGAATTTTCTTTGTCATCACTACATTATAAGGGACATAAAAACATTGATGCAACTCCTTGAACTGTTAAAAGTATATGTGTTTTTTATGGTCTAACATACCTCCTATATACAAAACATAAAAATACACTGCTTGAATAGTGTATATGATTAGTTTTTTTTTTTTGTTCTATTTAATATTGAATTTAAGGCTTACCTTCACCAACACGTTCAGCTTCTGTATTGCACAGAAATGTTCCAAAGCGACAGGAATACAAATGATCAATAATTGTGATAAGAAAATGTTCATTAAATTCGAATGCGTTTTTGAATTGCTCGCTAACTTGCCACACACAATCGATAAATTGCAAAAATACTGGCGACCGATCTGCATCGGAATGACGATTATCACCGTGTCCGATGCGCTGCTGAAATTTATGTCCAAACGAAAGCCATTCCTTTTCAATGAGCACCTCAAATCCACGCAAAGTTCGATAATATGGATCTAATAATAACATTGCTAACGCTGTAAGTTGCGCTGTACGATCCCAACCATCGGAACAATGCACCACAACAGATGTACTCATTGTTTCAACTTTATCGACTATACGAACAGCACCAGCCAATATACACTTTATATGTTTCAACCAGAGACTATTATCAATCGAAGATAACCATTTTGAATCATCTATAGTTGGATAACATGCTTCTTTCACCTTTCGTAAGCTTTCTCGCATCACATGTATATTGTGTATATCTAAAAAGTGTATCTCAACGTTTTTGTATGCCTCTTCGGATTCATAACCACCGCCTTTAGCTTTATTAGCTATTGCATTAGCACTGGGTCGTGCATCCATTATAGCTAATTTATCAGATTGTGCATTTGCTTCCATTATAAAACTAATATACAACTCATCATCTGCATTACGTTTGCCACCCACACCCACCAATGGTTGAGAGCAACGTGTTATTGTGGCCTGCGAACGTGGATGCATCCACGACAAAACTGGCAGTCGACAACGTGAACGAAATTGTGCAACACGTCGTAAAAACTCATCTGATGCAGCCTTTGGTACAGCCCAGACAGCCGGATAACTATCGCACACTGCATAGGCCTCATTTATTTTTGTGGCTCTCCACATATCATTTGGTACACCAAGACGACGCAATTCAGCTAAAGGTTCATATACAGCCCATCCATTATCAGTTGCTATTGGTGGTGAGCCAGTTGCAGCAGAATGTGCAAAAGCAAAAAGTCGCCCACTAAATGACAATGGAAATGCGTATGACTGTAGCTTCTCAAAAACAGTGCGGCGGGAATGGTTTTGTTGTTTGTGTGCAAAACGTAAATTACGCATATCTTTACAAAATATTTCAATACCATATGAATTTTCACCTCTTGATGTAGCTCCACCAATTTTCTCCACGCGTGCTATCACACCTAGTGGTACATCAACAACTACTGGTGGCTCCTGATCTCGCATTGGTAATGAACGAAAATATAAACGATAATTTGTTATTGTGAGTGCTCCAAATACTGGTCCACGATATGGACACACATAAGTGACATCGTTCTTTTGATCTTGATCTTCCTCGCCGTCAAGGTAAACAAAGGGTGTGTCTCTGGGTGAAACGCCTTCCGCACCCTGTTTCGAGCCGCCGGAACTTGATTTCGAATCTGTGTCCAGTGAAATAGTGCTAGCATTTTTTGACGTAACTTTGTCAGTTAATTTTGTACTACTTTCCAGTGGTTCAATCGTGTTCATTTCAAATTTATGTAAAACAAAAGCAATACACAATAAAGGTGGCAAAGGCAAAACTACAGACAATACCCAAGCCCAAATATAGGAGACAATTTTTGAGTGTATTGGTTTAATAAAACACAACAAATACAACAATGGCAAGCAGCTGGAAGAACAATGAAGAAGTATAATGACAGATGACATCTACTCTCTGTCAACGGTGTGTTCAGTGCAGGCACTACAAATTTATGCAAGATATAACACGAAAGTTACTTATATCTTGCATATTTTTAAACTTATTAATTAATGTTTATTTATAAACAATTTTGTGAAACATTTATAACAAAAAATTAACACAAAAATGTGTTCATTGTGTCATTTTGTTGTAGTTCGCAATTGAACACAAATGTATGTGTTTTGACAGCAAATTATAATAAATGTAAACTGCATTGAGAGCTCAACACAGCTGATTTAATTAATGCCGAGCACAAAAATCATTAAATGTGGCGGGATTCGTCATGTTTATACAAATTAGCACGTACAAATTAAATTATATAAAAATAATAAAGTTAAGTAAATGAAGGCAAGATGAATTGCACAGTTTTCCCCAACAAGCAAATAAGAATTATATTGCGCATTTTACAAAGAAGACAGTTAACACTGTATGCAGCCTGTGCTTCAAGTTTGAATAGGACTACATGCGACCTTAATCGAGGATATAAAAATCTTTTCAAAAATCAAATTCACAATGTAACTGCAGTCTGTGATACTAAACGTTTTTATTGTCAAACTAATGTTCCAGTAGAACACAGCGACACCATTCTGCCTACAAAAAGTTCATATTTGGATGTATTTGTTGATCTAGACTCTGACTTGACAAATACAATGCTTAAGGCATTGATTTATCCAAATCCTGATGTACTGCAAAATAAACTTAATCATTGTCAAAGTGAACAAGAGGTATTAACATATTCATTAATATATAAATAATAAAGCTTATTTTTTCGCTAGTTGCTGGAAGAACTTTTGCAACAGAAACACGAATTTAAAAGTCGCCACTACGTTCAAAGCATCCTTATATTGTGGACGCTTTTTAAAAACACAAGATGCCTACCTAATAATCAAGTGTATTTTATGAATTTAATGTCGCATATACTGGAGGGACTGCAAAAATACATACCAAACCTAAACGAAATTGAACTGAGTTGTTCATATCTTTACTTACGCAAATTGGGTGCAGAAAATACACATACTACAATGCGTGAACTTCTATGTAACTCGCTTGAAAATGTAAAATTTGCAAGGGCGCCTATACCGCTTTGTGCACTTTCACGTTTGGTGGTAGGCATAAACACCGGTAGGGAATTTCACGTGCCAACTGTTTGTCAGCATTTTATGTGGCACATTAACGCTCATTTACAAAATTGTGTAACGGAAGAAGATGTGCGATTACTATCGATATGTTTTCTCAATTTGCACGCACTGGTTACTAAGGATATGCTGGACAAATTTAAGTCAAAAGTCCGTGAAATGTTGTTGATAGGCACCTTAAATTCTACCACTGTGAAATCGTTGCTGAAATTGACAAATATGCTAAATATGAGTATATGGTCACAGCAGAATTCTGTTTTGATACGCGATATAATGCATATGCTCCACACAAGTATACCGCAAATGAATGAAAACGAAATAAAGTTTTTATGTCGAGCATTTCACCATCATCATGAACCAGCTAGTGTGGCAGACCCACTAATGAAAGCTACCGAAAAGTTACCTTCAACAAATATATCAGCATTTGCATGCTTTATGCCATTTGCAGAACTAAAAAAACGTGAAGAGCTTACTAAACTATTTAGGAAAATGGTAGTTGTTAGAGAAAATTGGTCTGATTATAATGCCAGTAGTAATTTCTTTACAATATTACGCGGTTTAAAAATTGCTGATGTTAAGCTTTGTGATCTTTATTGGTCTACGGTGTTGGAACAGATTCAACAAGAACGAAATGAGGATTTAGTATTTTTACGCCATTGCCATCGTTATATGAACTTTAATAATAATTTGGGTGGAACATATCGTTACACACCTCTCGAAAGACATTTAAGTCAATTATCAATGGATGCTATTGAAAATAGTATAAATGGGCGGTTACCAAACAAATTTGCACGTCTGGCTGCTTTTGTAATAGCTTATGGTCATACAGAATTATGTTGGAAAAAATTTCCCAATGTTATAATATCGAAAATTCTATCTATGGCTGAACAGTTTACTATAAATGACTGTCTATTACTCAGTCGTGGCATACAAATCGCTTCAGAATTAAGGTTAATATAAAAACATATAAATATATATTCTACAATAACGGACATACATTTTATATATGTAGATTTCGCTTTTACATACCGACCCTGCTTGATTTGCAGTTGGACACAATTACCAATGTGTTAACAGCTTGTGCCGAAAGGCATCTCAGCAAAGAGGATAAATTAACTGTACCAGAACTTAACACAATCGTTCGTTCACTTGGATCATATAAAAGTAAGCTTTCAAATTATGATTATTCTATATTCTATGTTATTCTATATATTAAAGTTTTTGGGAAGAATGTGCTTATAGTACCTGCACATCAGTAAAGCAGTGCTTAAAAGTGTTACAATACTCGAGCAATTTTTATAATAATGTTAAACGCTCAAACAGCTTTAATCGCTTCTGTTTGTTTAATTTTGTAGCAATTTGTTTTTATTTTTACTCACTTTATATTCTTTAACATTAAAATTGAACGTTTAACGAGCTCAGTGATTAATTAATGTTTCAAAGTATTGAATCGATGAGGAAAAAATAGTGTGTACAAACGAAAAATAATTATTAAACTATGGATATATATAAAAAGTTTCCGAAAAAATGATGAAACTCTAAGAAAAATGTATTCGTCAATCCACCGCGTAGTGAACAACTTTAAAGAAACCGGAATTTTAATATCTAAGCCGCGTCCTGGGCGTCCAAAAATTGTATCAGTCCAGGAAAAGCGAAAAATAGTCCATATGACAAAAAAAAGTAAACACTGATTTACTGTACAATTTTATAGAGTTCTAACTAATAAAAATGGGATAATCATATACATAGGAATTTGTATATACTGCAGTTATAGATAATTGTTGTTAGAGAGCTATCTTTATATACTTTTTCTATAATTATTTTACATTTCAGAATTTCGTCTTAAAATATAATATGAATAGGTCTGGTCATCAAGTAACTGTAGTGCCATCTTTTGATCGTATTCAAAAAAACAAATGTTTGTCTGATTGATTTTAACTTAGCTTTTTTTGTTGTGGTTAGATATAAAGCGAAAAATTTAATTCGACACCTGGAGAAAAGCAAAAGGACAGCAAAATTACCGATTTCTAATATATATATATAACTTTCTGATTAATTTTTATTAATGAATTTAATTCATTTATTAATATTTAATTTTATTTCAGAGCTCAAAAATTCCGTTACATACCACAACGCACTTAATAAATATAAAGAAGTCGATTTAAGCGATTTGAACTCTCGTCTAATACGTGATATAACAATAAATTTAACTACCTCAAATTTTATAATACCAGAATTATTGGATGCCATGTGTAACTATGTAGAAAAGAACTATGAGTATGTAACTGCCGACACGGTTGAAAAACTTTTAACATGCTGCTACCATTTGGGCTATACACCAAAAACCTTAACCCTATTTGAATATGCAGCTTCAATGCTAATGAGGTGCGTGAACAACTGGTAATATAATTTATGATGAAAGAAACCATGTTTCTCAATGAAAACTATTGTTTTAACAGAGAGGTATTTTGAACAAAAGTAAATTACAACAACAAAATGTAATTTTTAATTAATTAATTTAATTTTTGAATGACTATATAGCTGTTCCGAGTATTTCCAAATACCCAACATCAGTGGTTTTATGGAAATATTTCTAGTATTTGATTATTTGTAAATAATTTTTTGACACTGCAAAGTTCAACCAAGGGTTGAACTCTTGCCCTGCCAAATTTGAAGCATAGAGTCAGTGTGACCTAAAGTCACACTTGACTTGCATCTTCGACCTTGCAGTTTTGTTAATTTGCTCTAAAATTTCATTAACAAGTTCACTTGTTGTGCAACATTAACACGAAATCATAAACCAGTTATAGACTAATTGTATTAATTAATTATATTTATTTTCAATTGTTAATTTTTTTTATGTAACATTAAATATTTAAAATCTATTTATCTGTAATAAGTAAATTTTGATGGCCTTGCTCGCTTAAATTAACAAATAACCTAGCTTTACTCACAATAAACTCCTTTACTCAATTAATAGACTTTACTCATTAAGTCTATTATGATATATTTTGTAACTATGGGAATTTACATCTATTGCATATTATGATGTCCTGATACCTATATTAACAGTGTCATTTCAAACTGTCAAAGTTCGATTGTTTTAGCGCAAATGAACTTTGAGCACAACCTATAGAGCCACTATTACGTGCTTGTACAATTGTTAAAGTATTATTATTTAAAATTTCATATCTTATAATCTAAAACTTAAAAGCCATTTAATGATCTGTTGTTTTAATTTTTCAGAGACTTTGAGCATATGAGTGGTATATCCATTGTACAGACATGCTTAGCGCTTTGCTTTTATAAAGCAATTCCTGAGCAACTTATCAATAGAGTGTTTTGTGTGAAATTCATTCAACGTATAGAAAATGAGATACAAATGTGCTATTCAAAGGTATGTATATCAGTTTAAACAAAACGTGATCATAGTCTATCGAAACTGTTGTAATACATATTGTAATACATATATTAAATGCATTTAAAATGACACTCTCACTCATACAAAAATCAGAATTTATTTATAGCTTTAACGTACTGACTCTTTAAACTTCAAGTTTCAAGGTGAACTGTCGATGATCTTGTAAAATGTAACTTAAGTAAAGACCACTATTCTGATAACGGATTTTAGTAAAGGCAGCTATTTTGAACAGATTTTTGTATAGGATAAAATCATAAAATATATTTTTATATAGTATAAAAATATTTCCTATATAATAATCCTATATACTATATGTACTATATAATATATATACTGATGTATGGCATATATATATGGAATAGTTCATTACGATGTTTTGCAGACTAGTCGTACAAACAATTGCATATACTACCTAAAAATTCGAAGTAATTTGCATAAGACAATCCGGTAAAAGGTGCCGAGATTTGAGAAATAGACTTGTTTTTTGTAACAGTTTCTTACGAAAAGTAATATAACATCACTGTAATTTTGGAAGCACTGTACACCCCAGACATGGGGTAAAAATACACTCGAAGTAGGACGTACATAATATTATACAAAACTACGGATGAGATAAAGGCCAAACTACAGAACGAGTTCAAGACGTGTTTTTTAAACTGTAGAAGTAACGAAAATTAAAACTTAAACTTTGAGTTTTATACGCTAACATTTAAAACGAATGGGCCTTACGATCACCATAAAAATCTAATATAACCTATATGCACAATATCAAAGACGATCGACTTTGAAGGGAATGGAATAAGCAATGAATGTTAAATTAATACTTTTTGAATAAATCAAAAGTGTTCATGTACATTAATTTTTTTTTTTTTGTGACTATTTATTTTTATTATTAATACATACAAAAATTATTTATTTTTAAGGCTACATATCCAGAACGTGTACTTAATTTAGTGATGCAGCTGAATCGCACGGTATGCTTGGATTTTCCTGAAGCTAATGTTCCTTGGTTTCAACAAAATTATCTAGAAGCACACCTAAGCAGAAGTAAACGCTATTACAGCTTTATACTATATACGTATTAATTTGTTTTTTCTTTTATTTTTTAATAGAACAACCGATACAAAGTAATTTTAGTGAAGATGTACGAGAATTACTTAAAAAATTACTGAAAGACAATAAATATCTTCGTTGTAATCACATAACGCCTTATGGATATCAGGTGAGAAGTTAAAATATTTTGTATAACATTATTATTAATATATTACTGCACTCCCAAATCAAACGAGCAATAATGCATTTATAAATAATAGAGAAAACCGTAATATGGAAAAGGATGCTACCTTTCCAAGGTAACTGTTCCAACCTTTAGTTGAACTGTGAAATACAGTATTAGTTGTATGTATATAGTATATAGAATATAGGGATGTATATAGTAACATAGAAACCAAAGTTTGTATTTGCTTACTTATGAGCAGCTCAGACTCCATCCACAATGTGTGCCCTAACTGCAGCTCTTCTCACAAATCTTCGTCCAATTAACCTTTGGACTCACCCCATTGAAGTGGCCAGGTTTCTCCGTCTGGATCCAGGATGATGGTTTATATATACCTCTTCCCTACTCTTCCTCATTAAAATCTTACGGACATTTATTAAAAACTACTAACTAACTTTATCCATTTATATGATTTAATTGAATTGAAATATATTAGTAATAGGTCAACTCAGTGATAAACTCAGTGTGAGTTGAACTCAGATAACTCAGTGGGAACTGAACTCAATAAGAACTAAATTCGGAACTACATAGCGATAACTGGACTCAGTGAGAACTGAATCTAGTAAGAACTGAACTTAGTGAGAATTGCATTTAGTAAGAACTGAACTCAATGAGAACTAAACTCAGTATGAAGTGAACTTAGTAAGACAGCAGCACAAAAGATCAACCATGGTCGCAGTGCTCCGCTCCGTTAAGAGCTGGTACCCTATTTATTCTTAAGTTGGTTAGGAGTAGCCAAGGGGTGATATACATATATATATATATATATATATATGGCGACCCAAAGTAACGTTTCACAACGAAAAGAAAAATCGGTTAATAGACATATATCATAAATACTGAGATTGTGAGATCCAATCTTTAAAAATCATTATTTGTAGACGAATACCATTCTCCGAAGCTGTTTCTTAAATGTAAATAGAAAGAAAAATATAAGTAATAAATAATATCTGTTAACAATCAAATACGCACACGTAAACGATAAAATAATATATAATTTCCTATTTATCTTTATGAAAAGTTAATATTCTTATTATCTTATTCTTTCAGATAGACTTTGTTATACATTTTGATAAGGACAAGCAACTCATACCAGCACCGGTTGAGTCCACATTATTGGATCGTATAACCAAGTAATTTAATTTAATTTATAAATTTGTTTGTTTTTTTATATATAACTGCTTACAGGGTAGCTATATTGTTGCTTAAATTGGACTCATTTTGTGAAAATGATCTAACTACACTACGTGGTCCGGAATTACTAAAAATAAAGCATCTTGAAATGATGGGTTATAAGGTGTTGCATATCAACGAGCATGATTGGAACTCAAAGTATTTGAATGTACCTGGTGCTAAAGATAACTATCTTAAATGTTTGTTGAAGATTTCGAATTGACCCGCAAGACTGTTTTATGTATAATACTTTTGTTATTGTTAGATATATATATGTAATCTTTGTACAAAAATTTGTAATTTATTGTAATTTACATTATTTTTAGAATTAATTTTTAAATAAATAATATTGTTCATAATTTTTTTTTGTTTATTTATTATTATATATAATCACTATGTAATTACTTATTAATATATTTTAAAGATTTTATTTCTATAAAAAATGTATGATATTCGTAAAAAGTGTTTGAAACACATAAATATAAATGCTCTATTCATCACGTTCCGTCTCCTCTTGGCACCAGTCATAAGCATTGTTGAACATTAATTGCCATGGACTTTCTTTCGTTGCTACATTAAAGTTAGGTGGTACATATGGCCACAGATGCATATCACTACAACGTTCTGGATGTGGCATTATAGCTAAATGGCGGCCGTCTTCAGAACATAAACCAGCTATGCCATTAGAGCTGCCATTTGGATTCATTGGATAACTTTCAGTTGGCCTTCCGTCATCGTCAACATAATACATTGCAACCGCTCCTGTGTTTACCAACACATCTAATATATTTAGATTGCGGAAAACAAATTGTCCCTCACCATGAGCTACCCAGCAACCTAATGTGGAGCCCGCTAATTTACGCAGCATAATGGATTTTGTTTGCTTATTTATAAGTAAACTGCTCCAACGGCATTCAAACCGTTCAGATTTATTATGCATTAAAGCAACGTCGGATATATCAGTATCGTCATTTGTATAAAGATGTCGTTCTACATCACCCACCCAACCGATTAATGTCATCAATTGGCAACCATTACAAACGCCCAACGAAAAAACATCTTCTCGTTCTTTAAATGCACGAAATTGTGGTTTTAACACATCGCTAAACATAATATTCCCAGCCCAACCTTTCGCAGAACCCAATGTATCCGCATAACTGAAACCACCTGGAAACACTAAGCCGCGATAATTGCTTAAAGTAGTTTTACCTGTAAGAAAAACATATCAAAACATTTATATAAATATATATAAAATAAATAAAATATTTATTATATAAACAAATGAAGATACAGGATGTTTTCGAATAACGTAAGAATCGAACCCTTGATCACACAAGCGATAAAACTCTTATATGACTCCAATTGTTCTTCTTGTTGTTGTAACAAACTGGGACCTGCTTGTTAAATTCCTATGGAGGGTGTAAAACGGCACTTAATCGTTGAAATTGACAAGGTGCCTCCGGAACATAGACCCGGCCAAGTTGTCCTTCTGATTCTGTTTTCTTCGAAACCCCATATCTTGTCTAATATTTGTATATATAAAAAAATATACAATGTTGAAATACAGTAAAAGCTTTCTTAAGCGCACACCGACAGGACCTGGAATTTTGTTTCAGTAGCCCGTGGAGACTTACATGGCAGATAACATGAAAGGAATTATAAAAACGAATTCATGGGTTAGAGTATTGTTGGGTAAGAGAGGTGTAAAAGATGAGAGGATTGTTTGGGAATAAGAGTGGGTTATGGATGAGTGGAATTTTAATTAAAGGTAACCTGAATCAAGTCGAGGAAACCTAGACACTACAATGGAGAAAAATGCATCAGGATATGAAAACAGATGGACGAAATCGTGGGTCGTAGATCCGCAGTAAGGTCACACAATTCTATTTTAATGAAGCTGACAGGTTAAAAACGTACTTTATATTAAAAATGGAAACTTGGGAATAATAATAGTGCACGGTAAAGAGTGATGTTTATATTTGAAAACACCCGTTCAACAAAGCTTTCGCAATATACATATTTCTTCTTTATTGAATACCATATAATTTTATAACAAAAGCAGTTCTTACCACTTAATAGATCACTCATAGTTACATCATGAACTTCAAAATTTGCTTTTAGCAAACAAGCCATCATTTCTCGATCACTATTAACACCTTCTTCACGTAGCACAGCCACACGTACTATACTTCCGCTACGTTTTAGCTTAAGCTCTGCAGCTAAATCAACTGAACATGAATATGTGGGTCCTCTACGATAAGTTAGCGATCTATATTCTTCAGTAACGCAGCTTGCATCTGCCTGCAATTTTTCCAATTGATAACTGGTACATTCCCATTGTTTACACAAATTTCGGACACTGTTCTGTAACAACACATTTCCTTTAGACTTAACGCATACATCTGCATCTAAGCCATATTGCGTAGTCTTTCCAATTATATAGGTTGGAACTTTCGCGCACATATATTCGTTTTGCACCTCAGCTAATATTGAATCCTCAACTTCTACAACCCAACCGCATTCTTCAGCGAATAAAATAGCAAATTCTGGCATACTGACAGCAGATTTATCTACATTATTTAAATCTATTTCGGTTATAACATCCGTTAAATCCAACTCAACGCCAGCAATGCCAGCGAAAGCCATTTCCAAAACACACACCAGCAAACCGCCATCGCTGATATCATGTCCAGCAAGTAATTTACGTTCTGCTAATAATAATTGCGTTTTATTAAAAGCATTCTTTAAGGTTTTTGTACGCTGCAACGTCGGGCATTCATTCCCTTGTTGCATATAGACTTGAGCTAATGCAGAAGCACCCAAACGGAATTTGCCTTCTATGTTTATCCACAAAAGGCTTGTTTGCTTACGCATGGAAGGTCCTTTCAGATCAGGTGTTATTCGAAGTGTGACATCCGGACATGGTGCGTATGTTGAAATTACTAAAGTGCCAGGCGATTTCACTGTGTCACCGCTTACTTTAGCTGCCATCGATAATGAATCCTTTCCGCCATCAACAGCTATATTTAGATCCTTCATAATAGCACACATTTCTTCGCAAGCATTAAACATTTTTGCTCCTTCACCTGGTAATTTAGCAGCCCACATCCAATTGCCAGAGCATTTAACATTTGACAAGTCTGTTATCTTCACGAAGACCAAGTTGGATAGTGCCTCTGCTACAGACATACGTGCCATTGCAGCAGCATCCAGCAAACCTAACAATTAAATATTTTTGTTAATGCAATTGAATAACAGTAAACCATTCATTTTAAGCATATCGTAACTTCTTAGGATTAACCAAACTCAGCAAAATTAGTTAAACAATAACTATAGACTTTAATTTCACCTTAACAGAAGTTTAAGTAGCTTTCTATCTCTTAAAATGAATTACCTTTAATTGGTTGTGTACCGATTGATGTAGCAATACCCTCTGTTCCAAAATGCGAAACAAGAGTTAGCCCGTAATCAGCAACTGGTGTATGCAATGGTCCAACACATTGTTGTTGTACTATTAAGCCAGTCACACAACGATCTACTTTATTAGTTAGAAAACGTTTACTGCCTACAGTAACCAAGGTTAAAACTCTTGCCAAGCTCTCAACATAATCAAAAAACGGTTCGAATTTCAATGGCAATAGTTTCACTAACTTGCTTTCCAATTCATATTCACGTTTAGGCATATCACCTAAAACATGTTCCAAATGTAAGTCAAATGGCATTGGACCGAATTCCGTGGGATCGTTTGTTTTTAAAGCACGTTCAAAATCTGCTTCACTCTCTACCAAAGACACACGTCCATCACCAGTTACAATACCAACAAAATTAATTGGACATCGTTCACGTTCACAAATCCGTTCTAACATTTTGCGATCCTCTGCTTTACATAGTATAGCATTATTTTCTTGATATTCAGCACCCCATAGCTCGAGCGCAGTTATTGTAGGATCTCCAAGTTGAAATTCTTTTGAAAAAATTATAGCACCAGCGAAACCAGGTTCTACAAGTTCTTTTAATACATTACCATTTCCACCTGCACCCTATTTTCATAAAATTAAATATAAGTACAAGAAGGAAGTTGTTTAGGAATATCAATACATACCTGATCATGTATGGCTAGTATAGGATTTTTTTCACCCATTTCAATACAGGCACGCACCACACGGTTCACCTTATTTTCCATTTCTGCATCACCACGTTGCACAGCATTAAAATCCAAATCTGTATCATTTGAACCCTGTATTTCAACTGAACTCGCTGCACCACCACCAACGCCAATGCGATAAACTGGTCCACCAATTTTAGCCAGCAACATACCTTATTAAAAACCTCAATTTAGTGAAAGAGTTGTTAAGAGTTGTTAAGCATAATAATTTTAATATAAATGAAAAAAAACAGAGAATAAGGTCGTTTTTAGATATATTATAGAAAAAATTTTAAAAAACAAATGTTTATTTTTTCAAAAATACAGTAAAAACTCTATTGAGAAAACACGTAGCGCTACTTTCTTCTTAAGTCAGAGTAAATCAGATTATGAAAAAATAAATTGATTATAGAAAGTACCCACACAAGAAGTGCGTATATAGAAGAGTTTTTACTGTATTTAATGTAATTAGTACCTAAAGCTCATAACTAACACAAATTAAGCAATGTGCTTTGAAATTAATTTTAATATATTTAAGAAATTATTATGCTTATCTACATACCACGTTGAGGATTAATTTTAGCAGTCATAGAAGCATCCATGGTACCCAAACCACCACTAAACATAATGGGCTTCACGTACTCATCACGTTCACCTTGCGCATTCATAATCCCATAAGAGGTCACAAATCCTGAAATAACTGGCTCGCCAAATTTGTTACCATAATCGGATGCGCCATTACTAGCATCGATTAGTACTTTCAGAGGTTCAGCAAAAGAAGCTGGATAGGTAAAGTTGTTATTCTCATGGTGTTGTGGGTAATCTACAAAAAAAAAAAGTTATATATACAAATAATATATATAAATAATATATATAAATAATATATATAAATAATATATATAAATAATATATATAAATAATATATATAAATAATATATATAAATAATATTATATACATATATTTTTAATACAAGTTCCGTGAAGAGAGATTTTTTATAATGAAAAAGTAATAAATACCAGTAATTAAAAATAGTATTTTTATAAAACCATTTATAAGAATAAATACAGCAGAGTTATCTTTATATTAACAGCATACGTCACTTACGTGGTATGTTCAAACATCCGACACAATATCCTGCAGTACCGGCTATAGGTCTGCCACCGCGTCCTACACCTTGTACATCTCTGCAAAAAAAATAAATTTTTTTTATAAAAAAAAACAATAAAATATAAATAAAAAAACTTGATTCTCAAAAAGAATATGATTTTATATTGAAATTAAATATGGTAGGCTGTTTTATTCGTTCGTCCTTCTCTCTCTCTTTCTTTGCCGTTCGCTATCGCTCGCTTGCTTGTTTGCAATCTCTCTTTCTCACTCCCTCTTTCTCTCTCTCACTCTCTTTCTCTCTCACTCTCTCTCTTAATATTTCTTTTTCTCTCATTCTCTTCCACTCTCTCTCTCTCTCTCATGCTCTCTCCCTCCTGCTCTCTCTGTCATGCTCTCTCTCTCATGCTCTCTCTCTCTCATGCTCTCTCTCTCTCTTTCTCTTTCACTCTCTCTTTCATGCCCTCTCTTCTTCTCTATCTATCTCTATCTATCTATGACAACAGTTTGTGTTAAACTATATTATATATATTCTGAGCAACTTTTTCCACTATCCTTTATATTAAAATATACTTGGTTATTGAGATATCGATATTGAAATTTTTAAACATTTTATAAAATTGGTATTACGACCGATATTTAATTAGTTTTTTATATATATACCGGGCTTAGGTCGTTTATTTAACACATAGGTTTATAAAAATGTTTTTTTAAAACAATTAAAAAATTTTTACACTTTTTTCCAACTGTGTTAAATGTTTAAATTTATTTAATTTTTATACAAAAATTAAATAAATTTAAACATATACAGTGTATACACTGAAGATGGTCTACGATGTAGACCGAAATATTTGTATTAATATAATTTTTGTATAAAAATTAAATAAATTTAAACATTTAACACAGTTGGAAAAAAGTGTAAAAATTTTTTAATTGTTTTAAAAAAACATTTTTATAAACCTATGTGTTAAATAAACGACCTAAGCCCGGTATATATATAAAAAACTAAACATTTTATATTTATTACACTAACAAGTAGAACTAGTATACAAAATTCGCGTCAGATGGCGTTTGGTGTTTTCCATGTAAAACTTTCCATGCAACTTTAAAGCTCGATATCTTAAAAACGAAACTATATGAATATAAAGCGTAATGAAAGAAATGATTTAGAATATTAAAATTTACTAAAATCGGTTGTCAAATTCTGGCGATTCACAATAACATAAAATATAGAGTCAGAAATGATTAATAAAAGTTGAGAGTGGACAAATCTTAACCAAGGCTTAAATGAGTTAATAGTACATGTATAGACATACCTTATACGTCCACCAGTACCAGTTGTAGCACCACTAAATGGCGCAACTGCCGTAGGCATATTATGCGTCTCAGCTGTAAAAATCAAATCAGACTTGGTTGAGCATATTTCAACCTTATCGGGTCCATCAAAACTCTGTGGTCTTATTTGTAAATGCTCGAAACCAGTTATTGCACTACTATTATCACTAAATTTAATTGTGTTATTTGGATAGGTGTGTGCTTGAGTGTCCATTATCATGCGTATTAATGATTTTGGTTTCTCTTCGCCATCAATAATCATTTTACCACGGAAAAACCAATGCCGGGAATGTTCACTATTGCTTTGTGCACAATCAAATAGCTCAACGGTAGTGGGATTGCGCTTTAAGACTTTTGTAAACAAATTATTATAATAATCTAAATCCCATTCTCCAAAAGCTAATCCCAATTTAACATTAACTTCCTCCAATGCTTTGCGGCCTTGCTCCAGTACCGGCACAAAATACCATGATGTCAGAGATTTTGGTAGTCTCTCATCGAACGTTTTTTTGGGCATATTTTCAGCAGTGTAACAACATTCGGTCATTCGATCGCTTAAATAGTCAATAATTTTTGCAACAATATCCTTAGGACATTTCTCTTTGAAACCAATAAGATAACGCATTGACGATTCCAAACGCGTTATTTGTTTCATTCCAATATTGTGGCATATATTTAAACAATTTGTGGAAAATGCTGTACAAAAGTTAAATCGCGGCCCAATTTCAATGAGGAGTTCGCGATCTGCAGATTGAAGGCATAACGCGGATTGACGTTTGAGGTGATCTACACTTTGTGGCTGTTTCAGTAACCAACGTAATGCTTTATCATATTTGTCATTCCATAGTGCAATATCAAGTGCTATCTCAATATGAAAACACTTTTCCATTGACAAACTGTCAATGTCCGCATTAATCTGTAAATATAAACAATATATATAATATCGAATATTTATTTTATTATCAAAGTGATCGTATGTCAGAAGTTTAATATGACGTAGAATAATATCACTAAGCTGGAGGTAGGATTTAAGCTGTAAGTCAACAACTGTGTTGTTGGTGTGACAAAAAAATGGATCAGCTTGGCTCCGATTTTTGTGCGAAGTGAATCATCTTATCATGTCGCTTATTTGGGATGGTTTCCAGAGCAACTCGGATTAAGTCCCGCCGCCAGTCGTCATTTGAGATGTTTACTGGTTAGCTGGTTTACTGGTTGAATAACAGTAACAATTACTATAAGTGCTACAGTCTACACACATATCAATAATATGAGTTTATTCATAATAAGAAATTGGTTTTCACATGAATATATATTCACCTAATTAATATTAGAATAAAAGGCCTTCTCACCAAATCTCCTTAGCTCAATTTACTCAGTAAATGGAAAGAATATGTCAGAAATATAAAATAAGGGTTTTAAATGTAACTTGTGGCAGTTGAAATATCTTGTCACCTTAGTGTGGCTACAGGTCACTTTTGCGTACAGAACGAGACAATTAAAAGTACGTACAATATGAGATATACAGCAAAAGTTTGGGCAGATGTCTATAAAAGATAAGATTCTTTGTGATAAGTAATTGGTTTACACACGTAAATATTAGTATACGTATATAGTTTAATTAAATCTTCAAAAGTATTTATTTAATGTTCAAAAAGAAAAATATTAATTTAATTTAATTTATATTGTATATATAATGAAAACTTTTCAAACGGACGGACAGCCCTATTAAGCGGATATATCTTTTCGGTGGATAATTTTTCTAACACAAATTGAATATTCGTAAGACTAAGTTTACAAATTTACCTTATTTAGGCGAACATTACACTTAAACAAATAAAAGTCAGTTTACAAAAAAGATTTCACTGTAATATATAATAATATATAGCATATATATATATATATATTCAGTCAACATATGTATAAATATATTCAGTCATATATATGTATATATATATTCCATAACTCAAACTTCTATAACTCGTATTTTCTATAACTCGAACGAAATAGAGTGCAACAGGGTTTAGAGAGCATATAACATACAATAACAAAAAAATTCTTTAGCTCGAAGTCTCCATAAGTCGCACCTTTTCTTTGCAAAATGGTAATTCGAGTTATGGAAGTTTGACTGTATACCATATATATAATTGAATGTAATATTTATAATATATATGTTGTGTTATATATATTATTGTTATATTGTTATTTATGTGGGAAATAATATATATATATATATATATATATATAGAAGCTGCATTTAATTATTAATATATATATAGATATATATATAGAAGCTGCATTTAATTATTAATATATATATATATATATAAAAAAATGGAAGCTTTATCTAATTATTAAGCGGGATGAATTCTTTATTTACCTCTCTCAATTGATCAAATACTTTGTGCATACGCTCCACCTCCCAATTATCAAAGGTATAATAACGTAATATGACCATATTGTCACAAAAATAATATTACACTTTATTGTAATTGAAAGTTTAACACCACCTCGGCAAGCCGTTGTGATACACTAATTAATCGAACGTTGACAAATATTGCCAAAAGCCTGCTTTTTTGCAGTTATTTGTGCAAATTGTGAATATCAGTGCGTGGAGGAAGGTCAAGTCAAATGTAATGCAATCCCACAGCTGCAGGTTATCATTAACAATGAATATGTTATGTGATTACCGACCGCACTTTCGTTACAACTGTTGACGTTATGGCCGCTCGTCGTACGTAACGTCAACACCGAATTGAGAATACGAGGTGCAGTGTTAAATATTGTTTACGCCACACTCGCGCCGCATCATTTCCATTGATAAGCAAAATATTGTGTTAAAAATATTATTTAAAACATTAATAAGCTGCAGAATAAAAATATTTATTAATATTTTTTCAATACATATTCATATATTTCAAATAATATACAAAACGTCACAAACAAAACAAACCAACACTAGAAATCAATCAACTAAATTTACGAACACCGCGCCAATCGCAACGAACACGTGCAGCTAAGCAACTATACAAAAAGCCCGCGTATCGTTGTTGCTGTCAAATTAAGATAACAAAAATGTAACTATCTGTATTACGTATTCGGTATCCAAAAAAATACTCGTTACTTCAACTGTTAACAACAACACAGACAGTCAAAATGCTTAACACAAAAAATATGTATTTATGGTATATTTTGATTTATATAAATTAATCGATTACATTCATTGCATTGATTTCAATGCCCGGTTTCAATATTACGCACGACAGTGTCTAACTCATATTCACATAAATACGCAATAAGCTTACATATATACACTATTCATTGACTTATTAAAAGCTATTTGCACGAAAAAAATCAAAATAAATTGATTATTTGTTTAGCAATTCATTTACATTCTGCGTGCTCGCCTAGAAATATATGTGAATAACTGACTCAATATAGATGTTGGATTCTACAAATTGATTGTCTGCGGTGCCCCTTAAATCTAGTTAAGTTTTACAAAATTTTGACATTATAGACTTTCTATAGTCTATAGTTTTCTTGTATGAAATTTTATGTCAATTTTTCGCGCGAAATAGTTGTTAGTAGTAGACTTTATGCGTAAATAATGATTCCTATCAGACTATATAAGAAACATACCAATCAGCTGCTGACAGGACACCGCATGCTGAGAATAGTACCTTCTGAGAGTAAATCTACCTTACAATGGCATTTGTTATGGATGTGCCTCTGAAAAGTAGAAGGAATGCGTGTTCCACCTTCTTTGTCACTGCGCATCTTTAACAAATAGAAAATTAGAAATCTCTTAAACGTGTCGGGCTACCTTCTTTCAACGACCTGACAGAGCTCTTAATAAAATAAAAAATAAAAATAGTTTTGCATCTGTCAGGTTAGTTTACTTTTACTTGAATGTCTGGAGTCTGGCCTTTTAGCGTTATGTGTATGCTGACAATGGCGGTCAAGCCGGTCTATGTATGACCAACGCTAAATCGTGGTAGCACAATGGGTCAATATTTGAGGTGAAATGGGTCTTGGTGTACAAGGCCTCTTTAACTTTAACCTTATACTATGTTTAGACAGCCAAATTTCATTAACATCGTTAAAATAAAATTAAGTTAATTTGAAAAGTGTTCATACTGCTCTAATGTAAAAATTTGCACTACTTTCAAAATATTTTCCCGATTTTATTAAAGTCAGCTGTTTTTAAAAATAATTGTTACTTTGTCCTTAACTCAACTTATATTTTGCTTGATATTTATCTATAATTTATCTTTCGCATAATTGCATTTGAAATTTCCCTTAATTTCAGCTTTCATTTCAATGAAATTAAAATTATTTTAATTAATTTCGTTCTAACCTGCAAACTGAATTTTTTATGGAAAACACAACTTCGCTGAAACAAAGATGAAATTAAGATTTTTGCGAATTAAAATGTGGGTGAACATAGTATTCGTTTCAACGAAATTAAAGTTATTTTAATTAATATCGTTCTAACTTTCATGTTGAATTTTTTTTTTATGGAAAAAACAACTTAATTTTGCTGAGATTAACACGAAATTAAGGTGTGTCTGAACATAGTACAATCTGATTAGGTTTTATAAGTAAATTAAAGCAATGTGAAAGTTTTTCTACAAGTGGTAGCATTGATTACTTTCAAACAAATTCTTAGTCACAGTATGATAATAATTGTTTTTAAAATAAATAGTATAATGCGAATAAAAAATATTTAATAAAAAATTTTATTCTTTTATTTATGACCAAATTATTATAATAATTTATTAACAGGCTAATTGGTCAATTTAAATAGAAATTAAAAAACTATAATTTATTATTTATATCTAAAAACAGTTTATATTTTATTAAAATATTTAATAATAAAAAATGTAAATTTATCTTCATATGTTTTATTTTAACATAATTATATTTAGAATTGAACGAAATTTTTATTAACTACAAATAAACTAAAATATACTTTTATATAAAATTTGTTTATCTTTGATATTTGGTCTGTAAGCTCTTCATTTCTCAAAAAAAAATATGACAAATTTTAAATACCGAAACTTCAGCAAGGAATACTTATAGCAAAAGTAACGGGTAACCAATGCAGACAAATAAAGTTTGACATCACTACCGACTTGCAGATTTGAATAATAGCTTTCTCGTCTTATTTTTTATACCTTTTTATTTCTCTTTTTGTTAACATAATTTGAGAATTCAAATTTTGTTTAATATAACTTTGTTGGCATAGATTTTAAAACCATAGCAGGCACCAAAAACGTGAGCACAATACAACAACAAATTTAAATATTTCTTTCATTTTTTGTTGTTGCGGTTGTTGGTGGGTGGAGGGAAGAATGTAATAGAATTCACATGATGTCGAAAGCAGCGTGTGTTGAACTTAAATTGTTGGTGTCAAGTGGATTTAATAAATTTTTCTTTCTAAAAAATCTCACGATCGACAAGATATAACCGCAGCCTCTCAAGCATTAACATTTTTAAATATGAAATAATATTGACTGAATGAATTTGAATACAAATTCTAAATAAATAAATTATATTAATAAAATTAATGTAGATTAAAATTAATGTTATTGTTTATGTATTTATAATGTAATAAATAATACATAATGTTTATGTATTTATTTATAATGTAATTGTTTCTCTTAGTCTACAACTTGGAACTTCAGAGCGCATGACAATTAAGCTCTCATGTAAGATACGCTATCCGCTGTATTTAGTTAGACTTATGTTGCGTACAGAAGATCTCTTCCGGTTGCGTTATAATCTGCACAAAAGACATGCTAGTTGCGTCCTTGTGAGAAAGAATGAATGGCCTGGAATCCATTCATTCCATTTAGACAACCACTTGGTTGTCCTAATAGCCTGGAATGTAGAATGTAAGCGTGGATGCTTGTGGAGTCTTTTAAAGACACAGTATTTTATTTCACAGCGAAGTAATATATATCTTTATTGCATCACAGCTTAAAAGTGTCTTATAAACCTAAGAAATATTAATAAAATCTATATAAAGTCCAACTTTAATTTATAATCAAAAACAATTCTGTTGAAGAAATTTACATTTTATAGCAGTTAATTTGCAGTTCAAAATAATTCAGTTAAAGAGATTAGCATATTATAGTAGAAACAAGGGAAATATATATTTAAAATATACATTAAATATGGATGAAAACAGTCCTCAGACCATACATATATTATTAATCAGAATCCAGTTTAAAATAATCTACAGTTCTTACGCGGGATAGTAATATGAATAACATGTATGTTTACTTTATACTCTTAAGGGGATTTAAAATAGTCTATTATTTTCATACAGGGCAACATGAATAGAATATGTGACTATATGCTATCATGAAGAACCCGATTTAAAACAACCTACCATTTTAATATCAGGCAACAATACTAATATAATATGTGATCATATGCTGTTACGAAGAAACCGTTTCAAAATAAACTACAGTTATTATATCGAATAGCGATACCTATAGAATATGTGGCCATACGCTGTTACGAAGAAACCGTTTTAAAAAAAACTACAGTTATTATATCGAATAGCGATACCTATAGAGTATGTGGCTATATGGTTTTAGAAGGATTTCGATTTACAATAGTCAGCCGTTCTCTTATAAGGTAACAATACCAAGCAAGTTCTGTAAACTGGATAAAACTGTTAGCTCCGTCGGTGTCGGCTTAAGAGACCTTTCAATATATTCGTATATTCAAATGTGTAATGTTGGAATTCTTTTTTCTTGTCAAGCAAACTTTTGTCAATTAAAATTTAAAAAATATATATTACATATATAAATATATTTATGAATGTGTGTCCTTGATATCACGTCATTGGCATTGAAGAAGTAGCTAAACAGCCTCTAAAGCTGTCTTCCAATTGGAAAATTCCATATTAATCAAACTGAAAATCTCAATGAAATCTGCTACTACGTCAAGAGAACTTGGTCATTGACCTTCAATTTGGTCTATTACTATGTGCTTACCTATAGCTATATATAATTTAGTTAAAAAAATTTGAATGTTTAAAATATTTGAATGCATATACATAATCATATATATGTACACAGATATACATATTTATGTATGTATGTATGTATGTATGTATGTATGTATGTATGTATGTATGTATGTTGAAATTTAACGGCAGACAGAGTGAAGCATTTAGCTAAACTTTGGCACCGCAACGGCGTCATTTAAATAAAATACAATTAATATATACATACATGTATATTATTATTTATACATATATATGTATATATATATAATTGAAATATTAACTATTGATAAAAAAGCACAAAAAATTCATAATCATCATTTGTTTCAATTTTATTATTGCTTATCGGCATTTTTTGTACTTGTATGATTAGAAATTGTTGTTGGTGTAGTTTTAATAATAATTATGCCAATAATTAATTTCATTTCCTATCAATTCGCTATATAATACTAGTTTAAAAATAATTGAATTTCTTAACAATTTCGTTATACACAATTTTTTTTGTCTAGTTGCTTTCCGTTTACTTATTACAATATTCTTATAATTATAATAAATAAAAAAACAATAATTTGCATAAGAGCTTAAAGAACTTAATGTTATTGTTTATAACTTAGTACTAAAATAGTTGGCTAAATTATATATTATTTTATGCGAGAGGTCAGGTCTAGCCTGCAATAAATTTTTAGAAATTTAAAAATAACTAAATTCTTTTTTAATTGTATGCTTTTTTTACTTTCGATTTGCATATCGGTAATTGCACAAATGAAAAAATATATATTATATATTTTTGGTAATTTTTTATCTTTCTTTTTTTGTTGGCTTGTCGCGTATTAAATTTCACAATGGAGTGTTAAAGAAAATAATTAACTGTTGGCGGCGTTAGGGGTTGTTGTAGTTTTTGACTTGGGTCGGTTCGAAATTGCATTAAAAAGTTAATAAATTCTATAGTAAGAAAATTTAATTTTTCATAACACTTAATTTCATTTTATGCAACATATATAATTTCACACATTTTTGTATAATTAAAAATCAAATTTTCGTTTTGCATAATTAATGTTCAGCACGTTTATCAGAAATTTGTTTAGTTTATTTGGTATTAATTTAAATTGCGGCAAAAAGTTGAAACGATCCGCTTTTAACAATTATTTGATTTAGAAAAAATTTAGTTTTTTTATCATAACTATAATAGCACAAATTTCAAAAATAAATTATGTCCAATAATTAAACTATTTTGTAAATCAAAAACATTCACACAAATTTTGTTATTGTACAACACCAAATTGGTTTGGAGTCCTCCAGAGGTTGCTCCAAAAGCGCTTAACACTAATGTTGTGGCATGTTTGGCATGTGCATATATATATATAATATAATATACATATATGCAAATGCAGTTATCTAAATGTGCATGTGTTTCGCTGCCTGCGCGCTGATTTCGTCCATACTCTTCCTCGCGCTTTCAGTCATGTCATCAATGGAACGGCGGGTTGTCATAATAAGATCATCTGTGCTTTTTGCTGCTGAATTTGCAATGCCTTTAACTTCGGCATTAATACGTCCAATAACCCATTCAAGACCTTGTCGTCCTTTGCCAGCATTCATGCTGATACTTGACGTTAGAAGTTCTTCCATGTAATGAGATAGGGGCACACCTTGCACACTGACCGAAGCCTCTTGTTTCAGCAATGTTTTGGTTTCATCTGTGGGATGCGGTTCATAATACAGTACCTCGTCTACGGATATGTGACGACAAAATGTCAAATTCATAGTTTTGAGTACCATTTGCCTTCGCGAGGGGTCTACAGTTGAACGTTCACTTGCAAAGCAGGTTTTGGCAGTACCAATTAACGCATGTGTCCACTTTGGGAAATACCATTTTGATTGAACTAGACGATGTGTATGCAGCACGCCATCAATTACTTTGCGATCAACAACGTCGGTGCCAATAATTGATGGAGTCATTGGGTTTGGATACTTGCGCCATGCTGCCTGTGTTACTGTCTCCCACGGATGATTGAATGTATGCTCTGATGTCCAAATCTTCATTATGCAAGCGTAGTTGTGCGGATAAGATTAAATAACAATCGTGGTGTTCGTAGCGATTGATTCCGCTACGCAATGCTAAGGCCTATAAGTTAAAAAAAAAATTTTTATAAAAAATCTTCAATTATTATATGCGCGAAATATTTTTCAAAAAAAAAATTTATAAAAATTATTATTCACGTAACCTTTTGCCAAATATGTGTCAAACGAACGACTATCTCGTCTTAGCGAGACCCTAAAAAGAAAATTTGATGAACGATGAATGCAAAAGAATCGAATAAAACTGATTAAACACACCACACAACTAAAAAATCATATGTCTAAATTCATTTCCTACTTACTATTCTTTATTATTTACAAGGTTGTATTCGTATCAACTCGCCGAAACTTGTTATTCTAATTTAAGATTTTTTAATACAAATGAAAATCAGAAATAAAAAAATTTATTATACGTTATTGTATAAACCATTTTAAAACCTTAAACCAGGCAACTATGTTCAAATTTTAACAAAATATGTAACTTGCATTGTTACAAAAGGTATGTTCACATTGTTCACATCAAACAATTTCAGTTAATAAGTCACAAATTTCCACTAAGAATCCATTTAATCACAAAGCTTACCTTATATTAAAATAGAAAACCAATAATAAATTAATAGTATTGAATTACATTTATAGATCTTATTAATTCTATACAACTTATTAATATTGAAAATGATTATGAATTAAGTTTTTACTAAAAAAAATATTTATTCACAAAGCTTGCTTTATATTGAAAAAATAAACCAATAAAAAATTAATAAAAGTATTGAAGTTGTGAATTTCGCCATTAAAACCAACAAATATTGAAAGTGATAGTGAATCAAATTATAACTTTTGGATTCACCGACTTAAGGTAACGCAAAGAAACCAAATGGTTGTGTTCAGAGTTATGTGAAAATCAACTTGCACGGTTGCATCCACGCAAATCATTATAAATCTTAGCAAATTATTTTAAAAAATTATTAAAATACGAAAGTAAAAGTCTCTTCATGACTTTTATTTAGCATTAGTGGCTATTATGAAATGTCTACTGAGTCGATTGGTATGCAAATTTCTTATTAGAAAACTTGATAGACAAACAGATGCACTATTGTGAATGATGCAAGGGTTGTGGAGCGCGTAGCTTCAATTTAGCTTACTTTGTTCAATTTGCTTGGTTGGAACATTAAAATTAATTTAAAATTCTTGATATAAAATAGTATAAAATGTGAAAAATCTGAAAACTCCTAACTCTTAAATAATATTTTATTAATATGTAAGCATAATTTAATATTATATTATACTAGGCGTTTTCGGTGACTCGCAAGTGTGGCAAAAAATGCAAGCTGGAATTATTGAAATAATATTTACAAAAGATTTATATTTGTTGCATTCGACATTTTTCTTCTAATTTTCTTTCCTTTATTTTTAATTAAGTTAAAAATCATGAAAGCTCTTTGTATAACTACTAAAATTTACTTAATGAGTTAAACTTAAGTAAGCAGTGGAAACATATTATAAGGAGATAGGTCTTGGCACTGAACAAGATTTTCTAAAAATGAAGCCCCTCCCTAATTTAATTAATCTTTTAAGTGCATTCGCTAAGCAGTAACAAAGCAGTTGTGAAACGCTTTCATGATCCAAACCACAACTGCGACAGGATTCTTGAAATAGGAGATTCAATCTTCTAACATGGTTTTCTAATCGGCTGTGCTCTGTTAACAAGCCTACCAAAAGATTGATACCTTTACATGGCAGCTTAATGAAAGTGATTCAGTCTTCCACATGGTTTCCTAATCGGCTGTGATCTGTTTATAGGGCATTTCAATGAAAGTATTGGATTGTTTCCTAATAGAAACAATTGCTTACAATTGAGTCTACCCATCTTGTATTTAGTTGTTTAACACTGATAGAATTCAACAATTATATATATTACTAATATCGCGCAAGAGTTATTGAATGCAGGCAGCATTAAAAAATAAAAAATTTTAAAAACTGTCAGCTAACAGCACTAAATAATTGGAAAAAATATTTTCAATAAGAAAAGATAAACAGATCTTAAATACTTGGTTAATTTGAAATATTCTTTATTATTTTAATTGCAATTACCAGTGTCAGCTAATGTCACTCATAAACGAAGATCAATGTTAACCTGTCAAATTCAAAAGGTTTCTTCACAGGAACAGTCCACCTACCTGATTTACACAAAGAAAAAACTTTTTAAACCGTTTATAATTTATTTAAAAATTATGAACTTATATTGTTTATGGTAAAAATTTATGTTTACATCAGAAATCATACATTAATAAAGTTTTTACACAAAATTTCTTTTAAACAATTTTCACAATACAAAATACACTTAAAATAATATTCAATGTTCAAAATTAAGTTAAAAACGAATTCACCAAATTAATTACTAATAAAAATCTTTAAAATACAATATATTTAAATAAAATTTGTTTTATAGTCATTATGGCATAGTCCACTCTTAAACAAAGCCAGCTTAAATTATTTAGGTTCCATTATTGCAACATTAGCACCATCTTTGAAAGTGATAATAAGATTTGTTCAGCATTTCCTTTAAGTTCATATACTTTTCACTATGATTTGTTATATGCATTTTATAAAATATACTGGCAGTTTCTTATATATCATTTCCTTTTTTATTTGTTTTATACATTTTGGAAGATTTTTCAAATGTTTTTTCTGCTTCGTCCACTATATTCACCAGGATAGTTGATTTTCCGGATATTTGGTTAAACATTATGTTTATATGTTTGGTTATATATTATATTGAATAAAAAAATGTATTTATGTATATTTTACCATAATTTAAATGACGTTATACTTGTAGGTATATAACGAAAAAATGTATTTATGTATAGTTTAATATAAATTATATGACGTTGTATATACTCCTGTATGTACATAACGGCTTAGCGATATAACGGCAACCCAAAATTTGATAATTGTTTTTGCATAATGTAACTTAAAAGTATGCACATTATAATCAAAATAGCTTGCGTTTTAATTTTAATAAAGCTGAAAAAATTTGCTAAAAAGTATAAGCAACAACAAAAATATGAAAAGCACTTCGAGAGAACAGTTCCAATGCCGTTTCAAATATAAAGTAATTGCAAGATGTGCCTAGTTTTTGGATGGATATACAGTAGTCAATTTTAATGAAATAAACCATAAAAAATTGCTTCTTGATGTAACTATCATTCACAAGCATTTTTAAATGTTAAAAGGTTTTCAATAGGTTAGGTTAGGTTAGTATATTTTAATCCGTCTGGATTCAATAATGTTGAGGCATACCTACATTACCTACTACTTTACGATTGTGTTAAGAAGTTAAATTTTGTATTATAACAATACTGAAAAAATTTTATCTTTTTCTACTTTTAATACTTTTAATATATATTATTATTTCCAATGAATGCTATACACTCACAAACTTGTAAACTATGTAGGTATGAAATATAATATTATATTTGTTATATATTTATTAGGTCTGTTCCACAAGCTACTCGTAGTAAAGCTCAAGTAAAACACAAGTAAAATTTACACGAAAATATACGAAAATTTGTTGGTGGAACGCACTTGTGTATACATAGTGTTATTCCAAGTTACTACGAGTAACTCATGGAACAGACTTATTATATCGCAGACTTTAGGAATCATGTTGATTTGAGTGATAGGATGAAATAATTTGAACATATTTTCTACATATTAATTACTAATAAATAACTGTAAATGTTGAAAAATAACTTTTGCTCTCCAAAAAAAAATTTCATTAACTAGTCTCAAATTTTTAAAAATTTTTTATGCAAATACAAAGAGAAATAAATATAAATTTAACAATTAATTTTAACCTACAAGAGGTATACTGAAGGTTTAGATCAAATTTATAGACCTTTAATTAAAAATAAATTGTTAAGTTTAAAATTAAAAACTAATTATCATAGGTGGGATGGAAATCTATGTCTCGCACATTGACGGCACATCTAATTAAGCTAGATTTTTTTTGATATCTTATACTTTAATTAATATATAAAAAATTATCTCCTACATTCATTCTACTTAAATAGATATGTTACTAATATTACTAATATCTTCACACTTCACTATATAGTTATAATATATAAAAAGTTTATCGACTATCAGTTCAACAACAGGGAGTCATATTAGTTGTGGAGTAGATATAAATAAAACCTATAAAATTTATAAATATTAATAATAAAATTAATTCAATAAAGATCGAATTAAGTCCACTGGTCGTGTTCTTTTAAGTCTGCGACATCTTGTGAGCTCAACTATAGAGAGTAAGCTAATATTGGAGTTTTCATGTACAATGATTGTTAAGTGATATTTTCTACTACTAGTTTCGATTTCTTCGTTGATTGTTGGAATTTGAAGATTATTGTGTATGATTGAGTTGCTTATGTACCATCCTGCATTTATTATTTGCCTAAGGATTTTAGACTGGTGCCGTTGGATTATGTCTATATTCGAATTTTATGATGTTCCCCACATTTGTAATCCGTAAGTCCATATTGGTTTAATTATCATTTTATAGAGTATGATTTTATTATTTAAGCAAACTATATATAACTATATATATAATATAATATAGTTTTTTCTTAATTCTAATTATATAAAACTAATTTAGTATTTGCTATTATTATAAACAAATACTTCGTGATTAAGATGAATAATAAAAATTTTCTTATTATAAAAAATTGAAGTTAAATGAATTCTAATAAATAATTTTATTTCAATGAATTTTTTATTTAATTTTAATTTAATAACGTATAATATAATAATAATTATTACTTCATTTAATTAAAAAAATCAATAATTAGGCTTTATAAATTTAAGACTTTGATTTTACCCACTTTCACTTCAACTTCAGCTATTCTTTTTAAACATAGACTATGGCTGATCATATACTATTATAATATCAAAATATTTTGGATAGTTTAAGATATATAAATAAATACATTATATATTATAAATATGTAAATTTATAAAATGTATAAATTTATTTTATATATTATTTTAATAATCACTGGTACCAACTAAAAACTATAATTCATAAAATATAATTGATAGTTATTTAGAAGCGTAATATTATATTTTTATTAGTACAAATTTATTATTATATTAAAACATTAATTGAATTTTTTATTTAGTCAAGTAAAATGTGAATTTTACCCACTGTTAGCAGGGCATATATTTATATTTTCGAACGGTTTTCAAACTTTTTAAATAGCGGCAGCACCATTTTGCCGTACATTTTTGTGGTTCATGGGTTCTTTGATTTTCTATCCGTTTTTAGTGCAAAACGTTTGGACATATACTAAACTTCTTTGTGTAAAATTTAAAATTCTTATAGTCATTGTTATCATTTCTATTATATTTATAATTGAAATAAAAATGTGTGACATTAATGATGAGTCTGATATTATTAGTTGCTCAGGATCGCGTCACAGTGATGCTGGTTAGAAATTAAACCGAACTAATGTCTTTTTTTTTAATTATGTTTTTTTTTTTTGCAGATTACATCGATGAACGCGCAATCCTGGCTCTGGAAGACCTAGTATCAGAACCAGGACCAAAGCCACAACCAGAGCCAGAGCGAGTGCTAGAACCAGAGCCAGAGCCAGTGCTAGAGCCAGAGCCAGTGCTCGAGCCAGAGCCAGAGCCAGTGCTAGAGTCAGTGCCAGAAGCTGTGAGTTCAAGCCGTGATGATAAGAACAACAGTGGCTCATGTCAGTATTTCAGTAATTGTGTACTATAACTGTATTCTATAAGTGTATAATATATAACTGTTTGTATAACTGTTTCGTACAACTGTATTCTTTAGTAATTGTATTTTTTAATATGTGTATTTCTTAATAACTATTTTAGATCATTCACTTTCTAAAAGAATAAAAATAGATGAAAGTGATGACCCAGAGCATAAACGGCAACAAGATGATGACTTGGACCTTAACCCATCATCGTCTTTAAAAAGTGTGAACAAAAATTTGAAACCATCACTTGAAAATCTTAATATAGCCTTACAATATGACGTATGTGCTAAGCTGCAGGAATCACGTATTTCCCTATGTATTGATTGTAGTAAAAAGAAAAAATCAAGTAAAATGGACAAAAAGTTTTGTCGTTTCCTGAATTTTCGTAAAGTGAGAGTTATGCCAGATGGCACAGTAAAAGCTATTGGTTTTTTGAAAGAAAATGATACATTAAATAAAGGTGATGAATCTGTTTTTCAACCGCTAGAACCCACAAATGCCAATTTAAATATAGCAGACAGTCTTTACATACTAGATCATATAGGCGATCACTTTTGTAAACTCTGGCAAAAAGAAATGCAAACCATTAGTAAATTAAGGAATGAAGGAATAGAGCTGGCGAAAAGAAATATAATCCCTAATGTGCGTGAAATGTGCGACACCTGTGCAACAACAATTTTCAATGTTCATTATATATGCGGAGAATGCGGATTTATTATGTGCGTGGATTGTGTTCAAGAACGTGGAGCACTAATAAGAGGTATTAAAGTCACCTGTATGTACAGAAAGTGCAGAAATGCAGAAAAACTTGTACCATGTTATATAATACCTAGTGATATATTTAAAGACCTAGTGCGTAAAATGCATGAAATACGTACATTTCACAAACAAATACAAAACTGTGAGTGCACGGAATTCGAAAAGTATGACGCGACACTTGACACACCTCGAAGAAGAAAAGTCGAAAAACCTAAAACCGCTGCCGATAGGGCAATCAAGAAATTTCAAAGCAGATGGAAAGTGTGTAAATCAATTATTATACAAAAATTGGCTGTAAAATTGGATTATTCAATCTGGACGCCAGAATATTTTGAGCAAAAGTTTGGTGACGTCAACGTCGATTTAGTCAACTGTATGACTAATAATAAAATAAAAGGTCGTAAAATGCGTATCTTCTGGCAAGGCTTCGAAAATTCAATGCGTAGAATGAAAGACTTCTTTAACAGACCAATGATACTTAAAATTAAAGATTGGCCACCAAACGATGATTTTGCCAAGATTCTTCCCAGCCACTATGAACATTGGCTATCGTTATTACCCGTGTCAAAGTATACATTACGCGAAGGTACTTTAAATATGGCTAGCAGCTTGCCAAAGTCTTTTGTTCCACCAGATTTGGGCCCAAAGATGTATAACGCATATGGTGTAACAGAATTTCCAAGTAAAGCCACAACAAATGTACATATTGACATATCCGATGCAGTTAACATATTAATGTATGTCCATTCATTTACTGGTGAAGAAGGCGAAAGAGTAGCTGCAGAAGTTAATTCTATTATCAAAACAAATCGCATTTCGTTTGCAGAACAAAGAGTTTTTCAACCAAAATCGGCAACTCCTGCAGCTATTTGGCATATTTGGCATCCCAACGATGCCGAAAAAATACGTCAAATATTATGGCCTGTAGCGAAGGCTCAACCCAAATTTAAGAATGTCAAAGATCCCATTCACGATCAATGTTTTTATCTTGATAGATCGTTACGTCACCGCCTATTATTATCTCACAATATAAAAACAACTACTATACTACAAAGAATGGGACAAGCAGTATTTATTCCAGCAGGAGCTCCGCATCAAGTGCAGAATTTGAATAATTGTGTAAAAGTTGCTGAAGATTTTGTGTCTCCCGAAAACATTGGAAACTGCCTTGGACTATTGAACGAATTCCGCAGGCTACCTAAATCACACGCAAATCACGCGGATAAATTGCAAATAAAAAATGTTTTGTATCATTCTGTGAAGGATTGCTGTAGTGTCTTACTCAAAAATGAAAATGAGATGGTTGAAACCGCACCTTAATGACTTCATTAATGTATAATTCTGGCTATACATTATACTATTCATTTAATTTGATTAAAATTTTAATATTTATTTTGCATTTTTTTAACAATATTTAAATATACTTCTATATAATAATTTATAATATACTATTATTATAAACAATAATTTGTAATGTACTATCCTTATATACAATAATTTATAATGTAGCATTATTATATATATTATAATTTATACTGTATTATTTTATATAACTTATTAGTATTTATAACTACATACAGAATATTTATATTTACGTTACAATTATTGATAGATATGTCTATATATGTTCAATTAAATATTTGTATATCATACATATATATATTATAATATTGTATATTTATTACACATATATATATACAGTTAATAGAACTTGTTATTATATATATAATTTATATATATTATATATATATATATATTATGTATTATATATATGTATATTATATATATGTATATTATATATATATTTATTATATATTATATATATGTATATTATATATATATTTATTATATATGATAACCTTAAATAAATCTGGCATGATTAAATAAAATAGTATTTATTACATATATATATTTATAAAAATACTGATGTTTCTAATTGAAGGTGTAGTTATAAGAAATGAATTATAGTACATGTAATAAAACACATTTTATGAATAAGTATAATATATTAAATATATATATTTTAATAAATATTATAATATATCTTACATATTTTGTGTGGTAAGATAACTGCAAATTCAATTCTATTTATAATTAAATTTATTTTTTTATATATTTTTTGTTGCAACAGTATTATAATATTTAATTTTATCGTATTATAAAAAAAAATTACACATAATCATATATTAATTAATTAATTAAAAAGTACTTTATTTTATTTTTATTTAACTTTTTAATAATCTTATTAACCATACAAATATTAATATTACATTTAATTTCAGTTATGAAAACAGAAATGATTATAATTATATATTAATATAGAGTGAATATAATAATATTTTGCAAAAAAAATGTTATAATATATTTAATATATATAACTTCCTATATATATTGTAATATATTATGTGGTCGAATATTATATATTCATTTCTATATTTTGTTTCATTTCTTTATATTCTATATTACAATATTGCTTTGTGTTATTACACATTTAGATATATCATAAAAATAATATAAATTTAAAATATGTATCCAAATTATAGTCTATTTAATTTTTTTATTAATTAAAAGAATGTTAGTGAATATAACACAATTATAGAACTAAATGTTATAATATATTAAATATATATAACTTCTTATATATATTATAATATATTACATATATTGTGTTATAGTTCATTATATATTCATTACTTTATTTCCACATTCACTTATTTACTTATTTACATATTATTCTTAACCTTAATTTTAGCTTTCATAAAAATATTATAGTTAATCTTAAGTATATAACTCAATTGTATTACATTTAATTTTGTCTTATCGTATTATACAAAAAGAAGATTGTAATCATGTATAAATTTACACAGCAAATTATAAAACTGTAATAATTTATGATATAATATATTATTTATATATATATTACAATATGTATTTATATCATGAAGTGATATTATGAAAACTTCATAATTGAAATTAAGAAAATTTCATTGGTTTAGTTTCACAACATGTTAAATATATTATAGATTTTATTATAATACAATTGTAATTATATATTTTGATATATTATATTGTTTGTAGAATATGAATTATTACTTTATTTTTATTTTTATGTCTGTGTTTTATGTTATACCTTGAAATGTATTACTAAAATATATATCAAAATAAATCACAATTATGTAACGCTTAAATTTGTTTTTTTTTTTCAATTATTTTTAAATTATTTTTTTCATTGTATTTTTCAGTTAGTAGGTCCTTCATTTTGTCCGAGGCATAATACATAACCCAGTTTTTTTTATCTCACTCTCTGGGGTTACTAGTATCATCACGAACAGGCAAACTGAGGCATTGAAAGTGAGACGTGAATGATTTCATTTCGGAAGATCAGCGATAACATTGCACATCGCTTCGTCTATTTTGTCAAATTCTTATATATAATAAGAATACATTTTTTTTTCTTCGCATTACTTGAAATAGTCATAGTAATTAAATATTTGGTTTATTAATTTGCTTAAATGCAGTAAAAAAGCTGTAGAAGTCAGATGTAGAAGACATCATAAAAGCCAGGCACAACAATTGTTCATACTTGACAATATTCTCTTGTAAAATCTTTGGATATAAATCTTTTCCAATAACCAAGTCAACCCTATTTTATTAATTTCAAAATGTTTGTGCCAGTTATATTTCTTTCACTGCTCCAAATTGTTTAAATTTTTCAACTGTTTGTACTTCTTCAAATGTTAAGGTTTCATTAAGAACAACATCATTACTTGGCCGTACGTACTGTATTTATAGATACCGAAACATTCTGTGAAGTTAACAGTAGATTAAAAACCAGCTCAGTTCGAAAACTGATTTACTCACTTTCAAAAAGATCAAACTATATCCAGCAAAGCAAAAGAGGCTAATCAACCCATAACAAATTAAGTTGAAACTATTTTAGACATCAGCATAAACGATTTTCGAATTAACACATATGACAGTTTACTGTAAACTCAAACACCAACACCAACTGAGAAAAATAGGGTTAATTAATGATGATTAAAGTAAGCGCTATCCTAAGGATCAGACAAAAATACAAGACATACTATTTGGAAGTCCAGCTGCGGATAGACACAGAATCAATTACACACGGTTTGGGATCTTAAATCCCCCGGCTAATATTAACTAATATTCAAACCAAATTCAAAGAGTCAAATATCTCATGAATCAATACTTTCTTGTCACTTAGTTATATGATTATCTTGTTTAAAAAATAAATACAAACTTGCATTAGTTGTTAGATTTTTCAATAGCGTAGAACTGGAATGGTATAAAGAGAGCACTGTAAAAACGGCCTCCTTTAACTGTAGAAAGCATAAAGCAAAAATAATAAGCTCGAATAACAATAACCTCGAATAGTCACTTATGTTTATTACTTTGTAAGCTAGTGAGTACGTTAAAATTTCTAAAGGCAGAAACTATTACAACAAATACATAAAACAAGACATCTATACGTTTATATTTAATGTCTACCCTAACTGTAGCTCTATTCCTTACGGTGCAGCCCATCTGTTCTTTTGTCTTAATATACACACTAATTTCAACTTTATTAATCTTTGGCCATTTTGTAAAATAATTTGACCATATTAATCTTTGAGACCCATTTGATTTTTCCGCACCACCAATGATAGTTTTAATTAACTACTCAGTCACACATTCTCTTTATCCCAAATAAAGTTTCTTTTTCTCATTCTATCATCCCCCAACCATATCCTAACCTATGTATTAGGATTTGTAATTCCATTCATGTTTCCGGCTATATAGCTATCCACGGGTTAAAAGAGCAATAAAAACAGGGTAATATTGATATGGTTACAGAAGCGATCAGTCCTACTCGACGCTTATGATATCTAAGTGACGTTTTTTCCTGCTTCATAAAATACACTGTGAGAAAGCATTTACAATGCATTTTTGAAAACCACTTGCGCTGTTGACAAAAAAGATTCTTCTTCTAAGGTCCATATTTCAGAGGCATACTAGACAAACCCAGACATTTGCATAGAAAATTACTTGCTAGATGAACAATATTGACATCTTAATAATGTTTTGACAAAATCTTAAAATAAAACACATTCATATTGTAATAATAAAATTAAAATGTTTTATTTATAGTTTAAAAAAAGAATTTGTTTAAGCAAATAGCATCTATTCAATGAAATATTGTTACAATAATTATTATTGACATTGATATTTTTATTATAATATTTTTATTAATAATATAATATTATTAAAAAATATTGTTTATATCAACAATACTAATAATAACTATTATTTATGTTAATAAAAATGTTTAAAAAAATTACAATTGCAATAATTATAATTAAGACCATAATACACAATAATAATTATTATAACGATAATATTCACGCCATAATAATATATAAAAAAGCATGAAATATATAAAAAATGTAAAAAATAATATAAAAAAATATGAAAATATAAAGAAATTATGAAAAGTAATATAGTTTTTTATAATTTTGTTTTCAAATAATATAATTTAATATATAAAGTATATAATTTTTGTGGTCATTTTTCCCAAATTTAAAGTCATTTCTTATATTGACAAAATGTGATTTATATTCACCAAAACTTTAGTTTTAAATCATTTTTTTTAAACTATTGTGTTTATTTAAAATAAAAAATTTAATAATTTAATTAATAGAATTTGTTAAAAAAAGTCATTATTATGACTGATTACTTTTCTTCATGTTAAATTTTAATTTTTTATGTATCGTATTGCTTAATTCAAAAATGTATATTTTCAATAGTTATAAAATAATACGAAAATAATTGAGGAAAAAAGTATTCAAGTAGCAAAATATGTATATAGTTATATATAGCACAACTTAAATTTTTAATACTTTAATTTTCATTGAAATGTATTTAGGCTTTTATATATTTTTTATATATCAAATATAAATAATTTAATATATATTTAAAAATTTTTTCAAACTTAATTTTAAAGTTTTTACTTAATATATTTAGTTTTAGTTATTTAGTTATTATTATCAAAAAAAAATTAAAAATAATAATTTAAACGTTATAAAATAATATAATTCCATTAGCTAATTATTTTGGTATACCATTGTACATAAGGTGTTGTGTTTTTTTTACTTATATATTATTTAATCAGCACTTGATCTGTTTTCTTATAATTATAATTATATTTATATTTATATATGTATATGTATACATTTTTTTAAAAGATGTATATTTCACTTCAAATATTAAGGAACAATTTTAAGTCATATAGCGACTCAACAAACTTAGATCTAAATGAATAAATTTAATCAAAGAAAAAAATTAACTAAAAAAAAACAATAAAATAAAAGTAAATTTAAAATAAAAATAAATACAAACATATATAAA